ATCGATTTGCGTGATGGCTGCTTTGGCTGCTTTGAACTATGATAACCTTTAAAAATATTAATTATCTTAACTACTTTAAAAAATACTTCAAAAATATTACATATATCATTCATCCGATACATAAGATGCGCAACACATGTGCTTACTACTAGTAGAAGTTTAAGTGAGCTTGATCAGTCTTGTAAACTTAATCCGATCCAATATTTAATTAATCTAATTAATTAAATTTGTTCCATAAATTAATTAGTCTAATTAATTAACTTAAACCTATTAATAAGCAACACAATTAATTAATTTTACAAATGTTCAACACTTGTTAATTAATTGATTAGTAATATCATTTTTTAGTTCTCCTTAGTGTGTGTGTGACCCATTAGGTTTTCGATCACGATACCTAATGATGTCAATTATTATTTTGATCTAATCAAAATCGAAAAATTAAGATACGCTTTTGAATTATCATTATTTCACATCCGTCGAACTAGAATGACATCATGTGACGGACTATGTCACGTGACATGAAAAAAACAAACTTGTTCATTTATTTTGAAACTATAATTCTTCGTCATTATTATTCGATTAATTACGAGATATAAAAGTGTATTAATCTCGATTATTGATCATATCTTTCATCTCACTCTTAATTCAATAAAAGTCGAAAACTATCTTTAACTTATGAGCACATCTTGACCAAGAATCTAGTTATCAACTTCGCTGAATGAATGTAGATAATAATATCTTACTATCTAAAAAAGATGAATCATTTATTAATCATTCGTTACCTTCATATGATTCTTGATACATCCAAATGATGTTTTATTAGTGACTCTCGACAGAACAACATCCAATATCACCAAAGTATGACTATCCTTATATAAGGAACTATAATGATATCAAGTCGAATGACCAGTTTCACTACTGAATATTAGAGATTAATCACTGACATTCAGATAGTTATCCATGTGGAATCTCTCAAGCGGTTTTCCAAAATATTCACGTGTCCATTTAAATATCACTATATTTTAACTTGTGAGATCAACTACTCATTTCATAAGCGAGAAATGTCACACGTGATGATCTATCCGTAGTAACGATATTTGTATTTCGTCATTACTTATGCTCACGAATAATTTAAGATTCAGTTATGTATATTTTGTTTCTCACTATCATAAATTATTGTGGTTTACAAGTTACTAGGACTTGAATCCACAAAATCTATTTAGTATAATTTATTAGAATAGTAATTCAA